TATTTTAAAACAAATGTTTATGCAGATAATATTTTTAAAACAACAAAAACATATTTTCCGATCATTTACTGAAAGTATTTGACTAAACCCTTAGCACTATGTGGTATTTTTGTGTTGCAGTTGACAAGCATCTTAATTTCTTTAAATACCATACTACTTTTACATGAGAATTCTTAACAGATTTCAACTCCCTTCATAGCTGGGTAACATATTTGAGTCAAGCCTTTCAATCAAACTCTGACTGAAAAAAAATCAGACAGGGTTTCAATGTGGCTCAGAGATGGTTTTGATCACAACAGATATTTCAAGATTTTCTGGTGTTTGGTTGGTTTTTTTTTTTCCTTTTTCTTTTTGAATTATCCTGACTTACGCAAATAGTTCCCCGCTAATACTCAACAATTTTTAGTTTGCTGGTAGTGTCACAGTATGGATACATGTGAATTGCTTCATATCCATCTGGCCCCACAAGAATATTGTAGATGAAATGGACTATTTATGCTACTCAGGCATTAGGAAACAACATAACAGCTAAAAGATACGTTTAGACCTGCTGAGCACTTACCCAGTTTTTCTTTTTCTTTTTCTTGGAGTCAGCATCATTACCACTGCCAATGCTTGAATGACTTGTAGCGCTGTTGATGCTGGAAACACTTTCTGAAGAATGCTGCCGCCTTATACGTAAATCTAAAGAAAAGAAACTACTGTGAAATCCATCTGTCTCTGTTTCAATATAATAATTGTTCTTGTATTTATGTAGCATCTTCACCCTTGAAAGGAGCCTAAATGAACATAAATGGCATTGATTGAAGCCTATTGCAGCCTGTGAGAATCCACTTTGGGGTCAATGGGGATGCACACAATTAGGCTAACACTTAGGAGCTCACCCAAACTGCGGTCTTACTGGCATGAAGGCAATGATCCTGCACAGCAATCTATGCAGGTGTAACCTCATAGCTAAGCAGTTTCTATTACAGATGGATTACTACAGTTCTTTTTCTGAGGAGTATAGGCACTACCTGACTTGTAGCAGGCCTAGTCAGCATTCAGAGGTTACCTTCTAATATACCATGATGGAAATAAGCAGGCAGGAGTCCATTAAAAATTAATGAAACAAAATAACCAGGAAGTAGAGAACATTAGAAATGGTTGGTGAGGCTTTTGAGTTTAAATTTCTTAAAAGTGTCTGATAACTATATCTTAATCACTGGAAAGTATTTTTGCAGAACACACCCACTAATACCAAGGGAAATTACTTTTTAGATTATTTTTTACTTCCTAGAAATTAGCTTTGCTATACTGAAGTCGCACAGTGAAATGACCTTAAGGCAAACATCTAAATAATGACCCCTCTAAAGACAGATCAATGACGCTCTCAAAAATGAATGTTGCTTTTTTTTTTTTCTTCAAATAATTCCTCTGCTGTTGCTTATCAACAGACACTTTTGAAGTATACATTTATCATGTGACTTCTGCCTAACTGCAATGACAAATTATCCAGAATCTGAAATTTGAAATGCCTGCTTTCTGCACTGATTTAGCACCTTGTGAAGGAGCTAAGCTGTTGTCAATCCATCTCTCAACAATGAGTACATCAATTTTCAGAGCTACAATTTACACAGGATTTCCGAGCTATAACCATGTTCCACCATAAGACTTCACTAGTGTCTTGGGTGTACTTCAATATACAATTTCAGCAAAAGGGTTAAGTCTTGACACCCAATAATCAATTCCTGGCCACCCAGTTCTGAGAAGAGAAGGCTCCAGGAACTCTGGCAAACAGGAAGCTCATGCAAGGTTTCCCGCTCTGGAAATCCACAAGTATGCCTATCATGCACTGCAGAATGTGTTTGCCCTTGCAACAGGGTTCCCAAAACAACAGAAAAGTGGTGACTTAGCTTTTTTCTGGGGAAAAACTCTGTCTTTATTTTAATAGTGACAAAAACATACCTTTGTGGTTGTGATCAGGACCGTTCAAGGCTCCTTGAATAGCAGCTTGTGCAGCAGAATTCTGAGCTTTCAGCATTTCAATGGTTTCCCTTAGCTCTATAAGCTCAGATTCCTGTGGGAAGAACAAAGAGAGCTCAAAATATATGTCACAAGAACAATATTTGTCTAAGTTAAAAAAAATTACAAGATAAAAGTGTTCAAACCAGAATTCATGGGACTGCTTGGGTGAACATAAGGGCAACAGCTAAGCAGAATGCATATTTTCTCTCCAAAGATATTAAAATGAACTAACATACTATTTTGCATTTATTCTATATAAAGAGATGATGCTATTTTTAAGGAGAATAAAACATTTTTAATAAAGACTAATCTAAAAAGGGTCTCAACTGAATAGTCATCATAAAGTTAAGAGAAATCCAACCGTTTTATTGTGAAAGACAACAAAACCATTTGAATTACATCCTTTAGTATGTAAGGCTACTGTATAATGGATGAATCTCAACCTGAATTTGTGGTTTTTTTCAAAAGATTTAACTTGTTAAATAATTCACTTAAAAAGCCCTGTTTAATAGCAACTGCCCTGCAAGTTGAACTAAAATTCTGCCATTTGAGTGAAGTTCTGTATTAGAATGCACAGACAGTTTTAATTTAAAAAAATAGCTTTTATTACTGCTGCATTAAACCTGTCCTTACAGCCTGTGTTTGTACAACGAGGATTAAAGGAATTTAACCTCAACAATAGAGAAAAGAAGGGAAGGAAAAGAACATATTCTAAATGTTTTGAGAAAGAGGCTTGGAGATGATCTCTTTCAATGTCACTGCTTAACCTCTTCCAGAAAGAAAACCTTTTGAGTGAAATTATACTTTGTAAAATAGTCAAAAGTTTTGATTTTAAGAAAATTTTCTTTGTACTACTTTTTTTTTTTTTTTTTTTTTTTTTTTTTTTGCTAAAGGTGAAAAAAAGCAAGCAACACAAATATTTTTCTATGCAGTTCACAATGAGTCTCACCATAGTTCATCTGCTGGTGCTGAACTAGACTGTGAAATGTTATTTTTATAGACAGCTACACTGACTCCAGTGGTGACTAAAAGGACACTGGTACACAGTTTCTTTCACAGTTTGGCTCAACGGGCCCCTACTTTTTATAGGATACTGTTCAAAGTGTATAATTGCAGAAAGATGCAGAATTTCAATCCCAGAAGGTGCTTAGCAGCCCCTTAATCCTGAACGTGGTACAAAGGCTCACTTTAAATTTACTACCTATCAGGTTTAGATTTTTTCCCCCGATACTCAAAACAGCACAGTGTAAACCAAAACTATTTACTCATGAATAGGATACCTAACCTGCATTAACTTTCTGAATGGAGTCATTTTTCTCTACTTAAATTTCTTCCCTTCCCATAATTCTATTATTCTGACAACTCTGGCAGGCTGGAATGACGCATCAGGTTATGATCAGTCTTTGTTACAGGATCTTTCAGTATGGATTAAACCTAGAGTCCACATGTTTTAATTAAGATCTGGAAATGAAAGATTTTATCTTTAAACTGTTCCATGACATTGTCTGTGTAAACCTGATGCTGCACAGTTTAATTCTCCTGGAGCTTTATGAAGATTTGATCACACGGCCATTAAAGAAAGATCTGTCTGTCTTATTCTCACAGCTGCCCCTGATTCCTTTCAGTGTGTGTTAAACAAAACTCTAATGTAATATGCTGACGGTTTTCGACATTAAAGCATCCGCTTTGGTAAACATACCTTTTGTTCAGCTGTCATTGTTAGACTTTGCAATCGGCCGGTCATATTTCCCAAGCTTTTTTCAAAAGCTGCTACTAGATGAGCCTGTGAAAGAAACAGAAAACAACATTTGTCATGACAATGGGTCCATTTTCCCAGATCTATTTCTTTTTTTTTTTTTTTGTAAATATTTTTTTCCCTCCAAGCTTATCTTAACCCAGCTATTTTCTATTAGTTTTAAACTCAGACTGAGCTAACTTGAACAGGTGAAGCAGCTGAGTGAGCCCAGTGTTCCTCAGGCATCCTTAGACCCCAAGGAGATTAGCTCAGGTATCTCTGCCTGGAAATGAATTATGGATTTAATGCCCTGCTTTGAGCTTACTGACATATTGGCCAACAGAAGTCTGCTCCCAAACAGAAGTCCAGGAACAATTATTTTCAATTAGTGTTTGGTAATTGAAAATAAAACACTTCAAAACAGGAATTCAAGTACTTTTTCTTAAACCGTAAGTTTTAACCTCACAAATAAAGGAATCCTGAGGAATCCTGAGACTCAAACAAAATATATATCACAATTAACTTTATAAAAGGTCACTACTTGATCTATTAATCTCATAGTGACTACATATAAGTGTGTGTTGTGTGTATAATGGCAATATTTGTATTTTATATAAGATTTTTATAATGTTTATTCATGTGTGTAAATTAATATATATAAAAAAGTCTTGCAAATTGGAAGTCCTACTTCTCAATAAGAAAAGTAATAAAGCTGAAACTGATTAAAACATTTTTAAAAATTAAAACTTCATTTTATTTTCTAGTGACATTCACCCTATATGCAAGCAAAATTTATACAGACAATACATCAGCTCTTCTCTGGTTCTAACCAATATTGAGCTTTGTAGGCAAAGAAGGGCAAGTGGTCATAAAGAAATCAATAAGCTAAGCCAGCTTGTACAGCCAAGAGAAAGTAAGAAATTATTTTTTATGAAATTCTATAAAATTCCGTCCACTCCTCTCACAACACCAAATAGTAAAAGTAGAAGAAGATACGTATTTTCTCTTTACCATCTCAAAAGTGATAATAAGTACAGTTTTCAAACATAGGCACAGTTTTCAAATACAGGTACAACAACACACTTGGAATTATCACTCAGAAATGACATATTTATATGCACAAATGGATTAACTGAGCTTCCTCACCAAGAAAATTTATTTTTTTATTATATAGCAGTACAGACAAACACAGTGCCTGGCAGATTTTTCAGTTACAGATTTGCATGCTAGTACAAGCATAGTTGAGTAGGTGGTTGTATGAAATCTGAGGTACAATCAGGAAAAAACACAGTCCTAAAAGGATTCTGTTATGTACTTTACTTTAAGAGAAGGAAAAGAGCTTATTGCCACATTGCTCTGTATACTATTCCTCAAATGAAAAAAAGATTATCGTATACATAAAATAGTGGCCCACTTCTGCATCTCTACTGTTATACTGATAAGTGGCTTCTGTGTTTTGTAAATAATTTTGGATTGCTATAAACATTTCAGTATCTTGTAAACTCCTTATTTTATATTTATTAAACTTACTACAAGTTTACTTCTTGCAAATTAAATTATTAGTAAATAAATTATTTAATTACTTATAGGTAGAGGTCAATCCACCTGTTTTCTGCATCTGCAAGGAAGCCTTAGGGATAATGGCTTTAGTAAATGATACAGACCCCAGGGACTAACTTTTGACAAACACAGGACTAGATACATATGTATATTCTTAAGCATTAATTAGTAGTTTTGTATATTCTTGTTTTAACATTCATAACTTCGGCTTTATTCTTTTAAATAAAATGAACCTGGAATATGTGTCAAATGCACCTCTGAAGCCTGTCAATCAATGTAAAGTTACACTAGCTAGTTTGGAAACTACAGCCTTTGGTTGTTTTTACTACTCTGAGAAGTAATTTCATTTCTCTGAGAAGATACAAGTAACTAGTTTTTAAACTTACTTTTCACTTTAATAATTAGGTACATATTAAAAATATCCAGACTATTTTGTGGCATTTTAGTTCCAAAGATGATGACCAGTGACCCAGAACACAATTAGAGACAAAGTAGATGCACCACCACAGAATTACAGCCAAATGTCTCTTCATTGCATGTGTTTAACAGGAAACTAATGGAGCTCACTGTTCCCTGCCTCATAAAAAAATCTGTGGCTTGGCTGTTGGCCCGTGGTTCTGCTTTACCATGAGAATAACAATGGGGACTGAGGGCTTGAAAAGAGGAATAATTTGCTTAATTATGCATTGCCTTTGCCCATTTCTCACAATTAAGACTGTGATAACCACAGATCTTTAGTACCTAACTATGCATACTTGTGCAAAGTATTTTCCTATTCCAATAGCTACAATTTCAGCTTACGTGAATAAACCACAAGGAACTTACAGGAAAAATTAAGGAACTCATAAGAAAAATAAAGAACTAGAAAGCATAATTAAAAATGTCATCAAAGGTCACTGAAACTATTAAGTGTCCGATAGTCTTTAGAGAAAGACAGCCATGGCACTCCTATACGTTCTTACTGAAGTTCAGCCTGTGATAGAGTACATTACATTCTTGGAGTAGCACACTAAAATTTTTGTGTTGTAAATGTAATTGGATCAAATGATGGATCTTTCCCAACTCATTTGAGATAAAGACTATCAGGTCTTGATTTTTTAATAATAAAGAAACATAATTCAAATGCCCACCATGGAAAACGAATCAAGAAAAACCCCTGCAATTGCATTGTTCATTACTTTAATGCTTATTATAACAGAAAACTCTTCTCTGAAAGTGCTAATTTTACATTCAGAATAATAAACTGGTAGCAGATATTTATTTATTCATCAGTCTAGGGAACTCCTACTTGTTGAAATCTTACGCAGATTTGTCCTAAAACAAATACTATGTAACAAAACAATAAAAGTAAGTTTGGAAAAGGCTAGATTATCATTATATTTATATGTGTGTGGAAGTATGTATAAAACATGTGTATGTATATTTTGCCACTTAAGACCAGATTTTGCATTTAAATACTTACATGCAAAAAATTCAGAAGAGAAAACAATTTAAACAAATAAAAAGAAGAAATTATGACTTTAAAACCCGTAATTAGAAATTAAAAATTCTAATTAGGTACTTCTTTTACACTTTTAAATTTGCTAATTGAGTTTGATTGAATTGGTAATCCTCAGTTTCTGAGGATTATTTCCTTCATACAAAAGGATACATTCTTTCATTCTTATAAAAATAACTAGGAGAAGGTTTTTTTAAAGTTACAGCCATACCCTCTCACCTTAGAATTATCTGTGTTAGATTTGGTAGTTTCATTCATGGTTTACGTCATTTGAATACCATACAAAATAGCCTGAATACTGCACAGGCTTTAAATAACACTTACTCTAAAGTAAAAATGTATCTTCACAATTGAATGCAGCATTTGTACTTGGAGATAGATATACTGGAGTCAGAGTTAAGTAACTGGGCATACTGGAATATGCCTACAGCAAAATATATCCATCTTTAACATGATATACATATTAGATACATAGATGATGTACAGCTCTTAATCTGTAGATCCATCACATATGGATTAATTTTGACTTCTATTAACATCTGAAATTCCCATTGGAAATATTCAAAGAGATATAAGTTCAGGGAATGACTTCAGTGCTAAGATGACTGATTTGATTTTAAACATTTCCTTCTTAGCAAATGATCCCAGCCTGCCAAACCCCAAATACCTCAGCTCTTAGGTTTACAGCCCATCCTGAACATGACATTAGCATATCCAAAGACTATCTGCTGACACACTTTGTGATTTGACCTGTGGTGGTCAGGTTTATAAAACAAACGTAAACAAATAAATTTCCTCCCACCTGACACGGCTGAATGAAAGGAGGTGTGAGAGGCCAGAAGGGATCAGGCTGATTGCAAGAAGCAACTGTACATCTGGTGACCTTTTCTGTTCGCCGCCTGTTATTATCTTCTTGTTTGGCTGTAGGATAGTGGTTCAGAGCTGGCCAAACAAGAGTATTAGCCAGCGAACCCCCTCCGCTTTCTACTGGCATCCTGGGTCTACTACAGTTTGCAAGCAAGCACCCTTCAGCTTTATACAGTACAAAGCACTGATCAAAGTCCCTCTGAACAGGCTGGGTTCAGGCTGCTCGCTGGAATTTGAGCCCTTGTCAGTCACATAGGAAGTCTGCTGGTTGGACACTTTCTGCACTGAAAACAGGCCCTTTCTTAATTAGAATTGAGATTTGCCCTTCAGCAACATCTAAACTGGCGCCAGAGGAAAAGCCAGAATCTCAGAAAAAAACTGTAAATTAAGCATCCAAACAACAGCTGGGCCCTGCTTGAATTTAATCACATGCAGGCAAAACACTTTGGGGTTAATCAAACGAAATAAACTGCTGAAATCAAGCATAGTCCTTGAGTCCAGCCAACAAAACCTGAATAATAAATGAAACCAAATAACAAAAGTCTTAGCAGAAGTTTCCAAAATGCCCGAGAAATGCTTAGCTTCCATTTGGCAGATTTTGATATAATATATATGAAGCAAAGGTTTGATGAAATAGGTTAAATTTCAGCCTGACAGTCTTTTAACGACACATGTAGTACTGTCACCAGCAGTCTTTTTGGGGTGAAGCAAAGAAAGACTTGAATAGTGTTGAAGTCAGATGAATAAGATGCTCACATACAATACTTTTGTCCAGTTCCACAAAGGGAAATGGTAACAACAAATTCAAGCCCAAGATGAACTGTGAGGGAACAAGATCTCTGGCTATTAATAGTTTGCTTCTCCAGACCACAGTGAGACAAAAAGTGCTGCCTATTTTCAGACACTGAAAGTATGGAAATTTGGAGGAGTTTAGGATTAAGGCTAAGATGAATGCATTTATACCAAAGGTATCAGAAAGGACTGAGTAATTTTCCGGACAGCAAAAGCACTGCAGAAGATATTCTGTTCATACAGTTCTCTGCCTGCCAGAGATGGATGTATCTACAGAAAAGATAGGTAGCAATCAAACTTTTCTCTGCATTACATTTACTGTTTGTTCAGGTTTTAGCCTACTGGTGTATAAATGTGACTCAAAATGAGGGTCACAGTGGTATTATCCTTTTGGAGGGTAAAACATGACTTTGATTTCTTCTCTGAGCATAAATTCCAGCTTTTATGATTAGGACTGTTTCTCCTTTAAATGCCAGGGGCTGGTGAAGTATGTCTCTTAGATCAGGAGATAAGTGAATGCATGCAAGTAATGCATTGCTAAGACAGCACAAGTTCATAAAAATTAGAAGCCCATCTGGGTTTTCCGTAAGTTTGTCAAATTAAATCAAGTATGTGTTAGTTAGTCTCATAATTTTTATGAAAAGTATATAATCACTGGCATTTAAATATCAATTCTGTAATTAGTCTAAATTTCAGAGGCCATATCACAATTAAAAGGTTGTATATACGCTCTGTTTTCAAGCTGGATTTTATTCTTGATGTTTAAGTGATACTTCATAGAACTTATTTACATAAAGTGCTCAAAAGACTTACAGAATTAGTACTAACACACCTTTAACCAGTGTCCTTCGGTCCTTTGAACTTATGTAGAAGTGGTTTTTTAATGCTTTACATCTTCTGTACCAGAAATAGCAGAGAATGAACTCAGAATCAGGCTTATTGTGAAATACTTTTCAATTTTTCATTTTCTAATGTATGTATCTCATGTTAGCATCTCCAAAAATATTCACTTATAATATCATAATACCTACTTTTCTTTTAAATTTGTATTCATTGTGAAGGTCTCTACCTCCCTTGTTCATGCCTGGAGAATTTGCAGCCTCTAAGTTTCATGGTCCTGACAAGTTTCATTTTGAGGGAATTTCCACATCTTGGGGATTTGGAAAAAGGAAAGATTTTTCTGGTACCATTTAAAACCCCCCAAGTGCTAAAAGGATCAGCTTTAGGGTTGCTTATAGGTTTAGGGTTTAAAGAGTGTCTCCATGGAGATGGATTAGAAGGTGAGTGACAGTCAAAAGAACTTGATTAAACTAATCTTTATACAACATACGGTGTGCATGCACACACATATATATGCATACAAGCACACATGTCTACAAATGTGGTACTTCTGGATAGGCAAAACCAGATGCACATGTATATATTTTTCAATTGTCCTGTTGAAAACATTACCTTTCCAATTAGATCAGTAGAAAAGCTACGGGCATTCTCATAAGGTGTTCGTAAGTCCAGAGGCAGTACATGGGACCAGATCCCCAAGCAGCACAATGTGAGTTACACATATTAAACCCAACTTACTTCTCACCCACGCAGCAGAATTAGTTTGAGTGAAAACCCAGTCAAAATGTAACTCTCTGGTTTTAGCTTGACTCAGTTCCTTTGAAATATGGACCACATCTAATTGTAACTTGGAGCTGACTTTAAAAATTTGCCTGGAATAGGTAATGTTGTTACAAAGCAGTCTGTATGGTATTTACTCCACACAAAGGAACACTGGCCAGAGATACAGCCGATGACTTCTAAATAACGCTGGGGAGAGACTGGACACAATTTGCCCAAACAAACCAAACAATAGCCTCATTGCCTCAGCTGCAGAGGAGAATGCCATGCCATCCTTACTCTAGTGCAGTTGTCCCTGTATTATAGGCTACAGCATTGCTGGGGTGACTGGAAGAAGATGGAGAGTAAATAGAGTCATCTTTCAACTCTCCCTTTCAACACATCAGCAAGAAGGAGTATGCTGGTGTTTTCTGTTCAGAGCAAGTGGAAGGGCAAACTGCTTTTCTGCCCACAGAGTGAAGTGAGGAATGGTACCAAGAGCCTGAGTTATCTCCATCAGAGTGGCTCCCACACCAGCCCTAGTACAGGCACCTGAGCCCAAGCCCATCACATGCCCCACTGCTCAGAATCACAGAATGGTTTGGGTTGAGAGGGACCTTTAAAGACCTAGTCCACCCGCGTGGCTGTGGGCAGGGACATCTTTCACTAGGTCAGTGGCTTGAAGGAATCAAGCTAACTCCTCTGGATAATACCAGCTGCTGCTGTGTGGGCATTAAAAGGGCACTCAGAGTAGATGTGGGGATGTCTGTGTTGTGCTGTGTCCCTTGCCTCCCTGTGCTCCCCACCACAAGGCAGAGCTGCTGCAGCCCTGCGTTCTTGGTGGAAAATGCCCTGCAGAGAACAATAGACTACCCAAGGCATGCTGGCTTAGCTCTTCTGACCTCTCGGTGTTGGTTTTAGTTTGTTGCTCTCAGGATGGGTGAGTGAAGAACTGCCCAACCTGGCAAAGATAAAGATCAGTATCTAAGATATAGGAGTGAAGGAACCTTGTACCCAGTGTAGGCATGCTGGCTATAAATTCCTGAATGATTAAATCGACTCAGAATCTAGCTTTTGAACTTATAGACATTGCAGGATTCCAATACTGTCTGCTTCACTAATTAATTCTCAGAACTTAGAACAGACTGGCAACACGTACCACTACAGAGGTACAAATACCCCTAGGTGTTCCACAGCCACCTGAACAGAGCAGAAGGTGATAGGAGTAGCTCTTCCACATTTTCACGTGTAGCAGCCCTAAGAGAACAAGCAGCTTTCACAAAGCTAGAGGTTATTTTCTCACAACATGAACACAGTACTTCACCGACTGAAATAATTTCTTGAAAATAATGGCAGTATTTATAGATCTAAACACTTAGTACATCTACATTTCAAAGAAAGGCATTCTATAGGTTGCCCAAGACATCAGGAAACTGCTTTTTTAAATGCAAAATTGCATTTTGCAACTCTCTTGCAACTGCACCTCAGCTTTCTTTGGGAATGGTAACTATAGTTATATCCCAAATTGCATTTAAAAATCACTATACAACAGATTGTTCAGTAACTACCTGGTGACTTCATATGAAACCATAGTAACCAGACAGGATTGTAGCTCACATTCCCTATCTGGCATTATTTTCTGATAACGTGTTCAATAACTCATACTACCAGGGTATGACAATTGGAAGGAACACCAGGGAGCTCTCTGTGAAATAGCCCAGTTTCCATTAGTTATATATCAGCACAGTTATTGCAGCATATGAATTCTACATACAACTGTATACTGTGCTTCCCTCTGCATCTATCTGCATTTTGCAGGGTTTATCTTTGTGAAATGAAACTAGGATTAATTCTACCAGAATACGCAATTCTTGCCCTTTCTTTGGGTGTGTCTCCGTACTTTTGGGCTTTTGTTTAATTTGTTCTGAGGAAAGAGTGAAACTGAACTGGATAGGTCTGTTGTCACATCCGAAGTGTGGAAACTCTCCTTTCCATTTCCACTGTGTTTGATTACAAGATTTCTTCTGCTTGAAGTTGAGGTAATATAGACACTTAATGAAATAATTCATTTGGAAAACAGCAAAATAAATAAATAGTGAAAGTCTACCAGACCATGTGTTAAGTAAGAGCTATTAGCCAATCTGACAATGTATTCTTTGATACTGTTTATGATCACAAGGACAAACACTTACATTTGCTGAAAGTTGAGATGTAAGGGTAGCAACTTTCTCTTGTGATGCAACCAGCTCTCTCCGTAGTTTCTGAATTTGCTGGAAAAAAAACAAGACTGCTGTCAGTATTGCAGCAATTTCCTTTTGTTGTGGGTTGGTTTGGTTTTTTGGTTTTCAATTTTTCTTTGTTTGTTTGTTTGTTTGATTTCCTTAAGAGATCACTAATAGGTTTACAATGTCTTAGTTTCACATTTTAATCTCAGAACTATTTAGAAATACAAATTATTAGAAGTTGGCATTTAGTGCTGCTCCAGATGTTGTCTTGCACTTAACCAGTGTATGAGCTAGCATTCCAGTTAAGGGAGCACATATGGGCAAATGCTTAATTACTTCATATCCTCCGTTTGCACATGTAAATGTCATGGTTTTTTTTACCAAACCCTGTAAATTCCAAACATATCCTTAGTGCAGTCAAGGATAGCAGCCCTGGACGAGGCCTGAAATTATGAAACATGAACGAATTTGGGTGAGGTTCACTACGCCTGACAGCAGACTTGATGCAACCGACATATGTTAAATGTCTCCACTAGACTCAGATAAAGTGCCAAAAATACTCCTCCACTGCCTGGCATGAAGAATGCTTTGACGACTACCTCAGACACAGATTTTTACTTCATGGATGTCTAAAGTTAGATGAGGTACAGTAATATTTTTTTTTCTCTAACACAATACTGCCTACAGTCCCTGTGACTCAAACATGCAGCCTCTTTAAACCTTATATACTATTCAAAAATTAAATAAATGTAATAGCTAAAAAATAAATGTAGCTTTAAATGTGCTTGTGCACATGAAAATAAACTTAATCTTGTATCCTTTAATGAAAAATAGAACCCTTAAGAAAAATATCTGTTTACATTTCAGGTAGGATAGATTTTTAAAATGAAGGTTGCGCATCATTTTAAGCTCATTGAACCCTATTTGAGATCTTACAGGGACTCCAGGCATCACACTGAACCTAAGCACAGCACGGAGTTTCACTTTGAAAGCCCTTTCATATTCAGACATAAAAGAAATTATTCCAGACTAGAGTAGTAAAATGTCCAAAACTAGCCTAGGAAAGGGAGCACATGACATACATAAGTAAAAACTATTGCAGTACTTTAATTTTATCACTCCCATGAAAAAGAACAGGGAATATTGCACAACCTTTAAGAATAAGCAAATTCATGTACATCTATGATAAAAAAATTGCTACGTCATTTACACTAGCTCAGAGCAAAGGAGACAGATTACTGAGCTGTTCTCCATCCTGAACTGCCACTTTTGCTTTTCCAAGTTTTCTGTTTGGTTTTTAATAGCAATTGTTTGACCTTCCTGCTTAAGTACACTTTCATCTTATTCCTACAGCTTTAGAAAGGTAGTTCTCATGAAGTGCTGTTCAACATCTCCTGCAAGAGCATCCCAGAACAAACCTAGATACTATCAAAACATCATGTGGAAACACAAAGAAATGCTGTTTCACCTCTATATACAGCCCTATATAAAGGGCAATGAAATGAGGGATTGTCACTTACACTACTGAACTGTGGCATGCTTCTTTAGCTCCTTTGCTTTAACTTTCAGAGAAAGGAGCTTAGAAAATTCAGGTAGAAATTATATTGAACTATACTGTGGCAAGTAAGGAAGAATGTGTTTGCTTGTTCAACTTCCTCAAAATATCTTTTAGTTGCCTTTGATTAGAGTAGTAAAAATAGGAGGAGCAAAAATGCAGGAGTTGGAAGGCATGTAGCTCTGTGAAGTGGAAGTGCACCCCTTGGTGCTGCATTTTATTGCTGCTACTCCTTGGTGCCCTTTTAATACAACCAGGACTTGATTTTGAGAAATGCTGTAATTGCATCCAGCTGCTGACCTAGGCTTCTCACCCATTCTTATACACTGTGAGGAGAAAGAAGCTGTTTTCCATGTCAGATTTGATTTATATCTGAAATCAATCCGCACTGCTCTGAAATCCATCAAAGTGGTCAGTTTCAGAAATTTAATATAATGCAAAATGTAAGGGAGAGAAGTTCAAAGTGAACATTTGAAGTATTTTTGCTCCTGAAAGGCAGGACATTACCTTGAATTGCACAGTCCCTTAGATCCAGTACAGAGCGGTATTAAGTCTGAAGTCAGATGTATCACAACTCCTCCACTCAGAAGTCAGATTCTCATTGATTCTTTTCACCTTTTCAAAACCTCAGCCAGGAGGTATTCTTCAGCATAACGCTAAGAAAACACCTTCTAGTGCACTAGAAACTTTTTCCAATACTTCTTAAAAAGTAGTGCAAAGACACAGGGTGTATTTTCCCCAGCAACTCAGCAATTTAGCCATAGCAGGTAAACAATAAAATAGTATAATACAATATATAAATATAAAAATGAGGAAAAGTTCTTACCTCTGAATGTGCCTTTTCTTCTGCCTGGAAGAAAACAAAGACGTGGCTTACACACAGTATGCAACATAATTGCGGTAATAGAAAATAAAAGCCAGCTACACTGAAGTGAGATGAATAGCTTCATGGATCCATTACGTTTAAGGAAGGTATGCAGTAAAAACAATAAATGGAATTCTTTTCAACTTACTTGGCAAGGCTCCAGCTGAAACCCCAAAGAGTTTGCCAGCATACTGATAACATGAAACAGCGGATAAAGGGAGAACAGCAACAGAACTGCAGAAATTGCAGCTACATTTCTAAGATACAAAATGAAAATTTGCTACGCTGTCACTACATAGACCTTAGTCTGTTACCAGCAAATTTTTACACTGTAATGATTATTATGAGTCCTGGAACTGTATTTGTTTTACTGTATACCAAGCAATATTCCTAATAGATGAATCCCTGCTAATAGAAGTCGGCAGCATACCAGTAAAACATATATGGGGGGAAGGTGAGGGGAGAAGGGTACTTGCACTTTAAAGTAGTTTCTTCCATACAGAGTACTAACCAAAATATTAAGGGCTGTCAAGGCATGTTAAAGTTTCAGCTTAAACTTGCTAGTAATATTTAATAATTTTAGATATTTTCCATATTGCTATATATTGTGTCATATAATGATGCTATTTACTCAGCAGTCTTTTTCAACAAGCTAAGAAACTAAATCATCATGAGGCAAACCTTTGAAAGTCATTAAATTTGTAAGCATGAGAGTAGTCTAGTTTAGGAGGCATTTGGTGGACAAAGAAATCTTGCTTCAGTGGGACTCTAATGGAAAGGAATGGGGTACCATGAGAGAGGAACCCTTTCATGACATAAAATAAGAATCAGTTATGTACTGGAAAGCAATCCACCCCATGATCTGAGGTGGGCCAAGTTCAGAGTAGCAGTTCAGCATTGTCTGGAAGATAAGTAAGCTGTAAAAGGAAAATGTGAGTAGAATAATTAGCTATAAATAACACTAGAAAGGCTAAGAAAACCCAAAGTAAGAGTTCCTTAGAAGATTCCCTGATATCAGGCAGTATCTCTGTTATTACAAATTAATATAATTGCTTTTTTAAGCCTGTATTAAGCACAATTTTTGTGCTGTTAGAATTTTAATAATTTACTATAGAAATGTTTTCTTAATTTACCTGGTGTAAGGGGAGAAGGCTTTTAGAAAATGCCTCTTTCCATACATGCTTATCTGTTAACAGTCACTAAAAAGACTGTGATGCTATGATATTCCCTGTGCAACACTTAGAACTCTTCTTGGCTGAAACTACTGTAACAGCTGATACATCACTACATGGGAATGACTTAGTACGCTGATTCTATGATTTGCCAACACTGATGTGACACACATACCGATACTAACTTTTTGATCTATGTTAGCAAAAAGGAAATCTGCCTACAGAAAGAATTGAGTTTCTGCTCTCATTATTGTTACTTCAAGCATGTAGTGCATGAAAAGTCACAAAGGGATCAAGAAAGACCATGTCCCCATACGAATTCTACTGTGCCAAGAAAAGCAAAAAATAAAAATGTAGGGTTGGTGACCTTTTCCTGAAACTGCCATGCAGGGACATGGTCCCACATCCTTAGACCACCGCCCCAGCTGATGAAGGCAGGCCTACATGTTATTACCAGATGACTCCCTCACTGTACCAGGAAGCGTTGCCTCTCTCCCAGAATTCAGAGAGGTGTCTCCCACAAGTCAACTTTTGTGGGCAGAGAGAAAGAACATGATTCTGGGCATACTATCAACTTCAAATATAAAATCTGACAACCAAATACATCTGAGCAGTTTTTACTTAAGAGTTCACACTGACACCATTGTAACCCAGCTCTCAGACACTGGTTCAAAAGGCTCTAAAAGGAAATAATTTTTTTATTCCTCTACTTCACCATCATATCCATGCATACCATCCTTGTAATGATTATCTTCTTCTTTTTTTGAAGACTTAAAATATTAACATACAAATGTCATGTCCTTACACATCTCCTTTGAGCTTGGCTTAGCAAAGTTAATGAAGTTTAGGGAATCTAAGTGTAGCTAATGCTGAGAGCCAGTGCGAGAAATATAGCAATTAACTAAATATGTGCAAATTGCAATGTCTCACCTACTGAGCAGGAGGAGATTAAAATTAGAGACAGCCTATCATAATTTACACTAACACACATCTTTTTCAACTTTGTGGAGAGCTAAAACTGAATCAGTATTGCAGTCCTACAGTCTATTGAGTCCTCTTACATGGCATACTTTCCTGTGAAACCAAATGTTTGTCTCTACATGCATATCTCTACAAGCTAGATTTCCAGTCTATTCAAGCAAGTCCTGAAAACTCAAATGCAAATCAAGAAGAAAGACAATATATACAGAAAATACTAGTGAAAACAGAACTTCTGTCTCACTAGACTTATTCGTTGTAATGGCAGCAAATCATGAAATGTCTCTTCTGAGTCTCATATTCTAACTCTCAATGAAGAAATCTTCAGAGAATAACTCCAAGATTTTCAGCTATACTTTGGTAACAATACATAAAGGTCTTGATCTTTATTTAGTACTCTGAATCTCTCCAGTGATTAGGCTGCAGAAAACCACTAGCACCAATGCTTAAGGCAATGCTTGAGAAATCTGATAAATATATTCGATTGAGATACTTATAGGAAGGCAGCTGCTTTGGAATTCTTGCTTAGTGATTTTGGCCTGCTTAAGTAAGGTAAAAGAGCTCTTGTACTCCTCCTTGAATCTAGTAACAGCTGAAAGCGAGTGACGTCTGCCATAACCCTGCGAAGCTATCCCTTTCTGGAGGAAGCGGGGCACTGCACCGTATCATTGAACAATGAAATGTTGTTCTTTGTTTTCAGCTGATGTGATACTTATGGCCAACGTTTTACGTTTCTATACTCCACTTGTGCATCATCCTCTGATTAACTGCTGGAAAGTTTAAACTCTTTTCACAAGATGAGAGGGAAGAAATTCTGATCAAAAAATCTTCCCTAAAGGTCAATCCTAGTAATTTTGACTTACTAATGAATTAGTATGTCAGATTTTTCTGTAAATTCCATCATCTTGTCTACATAGTCCACAACTTAAGGAGCAGGTCTTAGTTGCAATGTGAACTCACAGTCAAACGTTTCAGAAGATAATCAACTTAGTAGAGGTAAACAGTTTAAAGTTTGTTTTGCAGGAAAAATACTGTTCTTTAATATCATGGAGTTTAGGTAATATTTCCAATATACTCTGTAATCTTGAATGATAGCGAGTTATATAAATAGAAAGTATTGGTAAACTCTTGATATGTTACACAGCATCAGAGCAGAGGTATTTCAGACTTACTAACTGATCGAGTGCTTAAAGCATTCTGTGTCACTTTTAATTTGATTTTTACCATCTATCAGTTTCATAACCTTCTAAAATTTGACATCAAAGCTTGGTTTTGGACACCAGTCATACCTCACGTTCAGCCAGTCTACATATACTTTCTACCCCCCAATTCAGGACTGGTCTGGACTGGAATTGCTTGCAACTTGTTGCTTAAGGTCTGGACAAATCTAATGTGTGCATACCTGATGTTTTAGACATGCTTTTCTATAGCCCTTTTTATGATTAAACAGAACTAGGAGAGGCACCGTGGTGGTAAACATTGTGCGTGGATGCAACCTGCTTACCGAGCTACCATGAGTTTAGCATTGAGATAGGGCTGCCAAATGGTACAAATGCATCAGACTGCATGGGCTTGGTATTCCCAGGCAAGAACTGGTGTTGGCTCTGGGTAGAGGAGTTCATATCATTCCCGAGATGTCAGCTGACACTATTCAACATCTGAAAATATGGAGAGGAGACAGGCTATTCATGAATGCATGGTACGAAAGCAGATAAGTGGGTTGATCTCCTGTGAAAAAGGGCTACTACAACATGTAATTGTAGTTAGCGAATAGGTTTCAAAGCGACTGTTGCGTATCAGCAAGGAAATGTCCAAACATGTTTAACTCCCCCCATATAGATAATTTCTTGTTAGCAGAACAACTGAAGCAACAAATTATGCAGAAGATCTCAAGAAAAAAAGAAACAAACCAATAAAATAGAGAAAAAAAATCAAACCCAAAACTTCTGCTTGAGCTAGAATACAATTATTACTCAATCTAATTAACTAAGACAATTTTTTTTTTTCAAAGACGCTCATCTTGGAAATAACATCTAAATGTCACTTGCAACAAAGATCAGTAGATGTTTAAACTGCAAACTGCATTTCCCTTACCCTGAAGCAATTTTGTGTTTTTCAAGAAGTGTACCTCAAACAGTGACAGGACAAAAACACTTTGTAAATTGTGCAATTAGAAAACTAGCTGAAAATAAGCAAAATCACTCAAAATTATCAACTACAATAGCATAAGGACCCCCTTAAAGATAGTCTCCTAGACCATTACCTTATTTTTAGCTTTCAAAGTATGCACTAGGTGATTTTAAGCAGTTCTAAGCAAGTGCCATAAAAAGATGAAAATAATGTATTCTAAAATAGCATGACAGTAATATCAAAGTTGCAAATAATTTTTCCTGCTTTATTGAGGTACAATTTTAATCCTTCTAAACCTCAAAATATTGAAATTTTCATGAACAATGAACAAGAACAGAGGCAGGCAGAACTTTTTTCTAAAATGTCAATACTCACCGTAGAGTAGAGAGAGGATGTGCTGGACACAAGTGATAATGAGGACCCGTGTACTTTAAAAAAAAGGAAAATAACATGAAATATTGATGAAAGCATTAAGCTGCCCCCATGTAGCTCAATAACTAAACATCTTTTTAAAATGAAAACCAATCTTCCATGAAGAGCAACTGTGAGCTGTCAGTATAGAAAAACTATTGATGTTTTTTCCTGCACTTAAAAAGTTTGTTTTGTACAGAAAAAGCACTTTCCTGTGTATGAGGTAGGAGAGCAAGCCAGTGAAACTCAGTATTGTTACCAGCAAATCAAGCATCACTTTTGTTATTTTCACAACAAATCACTCGATAAATACACTCTTTAGAGAAACCAGAAATCGAGCTGTTTATACACCTGTCCAAAGCTGAGCAAGTGGACTTTAATAAGAGACTATGCCTTGTAAAACAGTTCACACTCCCTGGGGTGAGCTCCCAGGCTTTGCTTAGCTGGGGTGTCCCCCTCAGCACAATGCAGACCTGTGTATTTGTAGGCCACGTGAAGGGGTTATTGAAAGATGTAGTGCCATGTTTCCACTAATCATCAGTAGAGTCAGCCTCAAGAGCACTGAGTGAATGTTGCAGGACTTCAACTTAAAAAATGGGGTTCCTGGCCTCTCTGAAAACAGCAAGTGAAGATTAAACTGAAACAAAATTGCCCCTTCTGCTTCTGATCACTCTCCCGAGGAAGGATACACCAACAGAGAATTTTAAAGATAATTTATTACATGACTTCTTTTAATTTTTGTTTCAAAAGAAAATTGTTTAATATTCATAATCCACCAGGGGTTTGTAAATAAATTGTTTTGCTTTAATAGCTACGTGGCATCCATATGCCAAACTGACAGTACAAGAATACTCGGATTAGCCAAATAGTCTTTACATCTAATTTCATAACTGGACAAATATTTACAAAGATGTGGCATACGGACCATTGAAAGTCTATTGCTTTCAATCTTTGGTTTTCAGTTTCTGCTTTAAATCTCAGCTAAATCCCCATTCTGCTCTCATACACAGTGGCTCTATGTACTACCTCACTTCTTTCACTACAACCTTCCACACAACTCCTGTCTTAAATAAAATACATTTGGCTTTCCAAGAGCATCATTTCATGTTAATCTCTAATGACTGTAAACTGCTGAAAACTGTTTATTATCGCTGCACTGACTTTCATTTACTCAGGCTGATCATGGTTATTCACTCCAGCTGGACATGAACCATGACCAATGAAAAAGCTTTCATCAAAGCCACCGGTGACCCATTACTGAAATTCTAGATTTAACACCTCTTTTTCTATGCATAAATTAATTGTCTTGTTTTCTCTATTATTATTCCGGTGTTTCCTTTGGTAATTTCCCTGTTCCTCAGCAAAGCGTCTGTAGTCACCTCTGTCCTTGAATTATGCGATTTGCTCCTGTGCAGTCAGCCATCCTCTCTGTGCTGACAACTCACAGCTTGATCTGTCCTACACCCTACTGATAGTATTACACACCCAGATGTCTGCCTGACATATCATCTAAAATACAGAAGAAGGAATTGAAAAGTAAAAATTTTAGTTGCCTGTTGTTTGATCTAGGACTTTTTTCCCCCTTTATCTCATAGCTATGAGCTTTGGGGCTAGGGGAAAACGGTTTTATTTGCTTGTTATAAAGAACATTTCTGTTGTCATCACTTAGCAGTGAGCAAGATTGATGAGATGATGTTGTAGAATGAATCTCCATGAAATTTTAGTGGGTTTTTTGTGGTTATTTTTTTGTGTGTGTGTCTGCTGGTTGGGTTTTTTTGTTTGTTTTTGGTTGGTGGTTTTTTTTAATTACAGGGTGTGAGAACTTTGTGCTTATGTATGGGAATTCTGCGAACAATCAGATTTACTAGAAATGTGAGGTAGAAGAAAATGTTACAGTGCATTTAATTAGGAGTTGTTAGATGCCCTGTGGTTAAAAAAGAACAAAAAACAAAACAAAAAATATTCCCCAAATTCCAGGTGTTGTACACAGCATTAAAGAAACCAGAACAACAGTAATAATCTGCATAAAGAAAGTAGTGAGGTCAGGTTAAGTGCCAGAGTTTAAATACAGAAATTCACATAACATTTGTTGTAGGAGGCTGAAGCAAAGTGGGGAAAAAATGACTATAAAAGAAAGGGGGTGCTAAGTAGTACTGGTGTTTGGAAAAAAAAAAAAAAAAAGAAAATATGGAAGTAGGACTAAGAAATCAGGGAATGACAGTAGTCAAGGTATGCTCAGACACTTCAAATTTAGAGGCAAAAAGGATAAAATAATCCTCCAAGAACAGCTTCCTTTTCTCCAAAATTTCTGACAAAGTATTTATACATGTATGACATACACAGCATTGCATATTATTGTGTGAAAGAAGTATCTTCCATGTTTTAGGGTAAGGAAGTCCTGTGAGTCCAGCTCAACTGAATTTAAAAAAAAAAGCTCACAAAATTATTTAAGTTTTTATGTTGCAGAAGAAATATTTTAAAATTTTACTACACTTTGCAGGTCTATTTTAGGGCCTATTCTCTGATTCAAATAACAACTCGGTCTTACCTTCTTCCATGCTGTCCCTGAATGAACCTGAATGACTAATTGCTCGTGGTCTCTCTTCTAAGGATGTAGCACTGCCACACAGCTGGGAGTCATCATACAGATCAAAAGAAGTGTCTTGTGCAGGGATGCTGTTTGAACGCATCATACTGGGTCCAGGAAGGTTAAACTGAGATAGGTTGGTTGGACTCACTGGAATACAAAGCTTTATTAATGTAGTACATTTCCATTAAATGAATTTTGATTCTGCACGAAATTATAAGGACTAGCATAGTTAGGTGGACTTAATGCTGTTGAGAAAATGAAAGGCTTTAATTCCTACATGCAAAGCCACTACAAAAAGGTGAAGCAGATGATCTTCAAGGAGCTGGAACTGGATGAGACTAATCCTGTAAAACACATGGTAACACTAACACTAGTGTCTGAATACACAGTTGTTCACTTTGACAGCCCAAGACAGAAAATTGATGGGAGAGATTCAAAAGTTAAAAAGGAATAAGAAGTCGTAAGTATTTTTTATAAGCAGCTCTTCTAATGAACCAGTATCTGTATTTTATGGTTATATACCTATATCACCGACTGCTGTTAAGACCAAAGTTTATTGGCATATGCAAGACATATTTGTCCTTTGATTTTCTACAGTACCTATCACTATATTAGGTTAAAATTCCTGCACAGGCCAGTTGAATCTCATCATAATAAATAGGAGTAGTCTGCTCACTCATGGTTGAAATCCAGAACAGCATTGATGAACCTACTTTAAGCTTTTGTGAAGTTTGTTTGCCAGTAGGAAAAAAGCCTAGTTACGGTTCGCTTGGACCACATGAACTCAGTGCCTAGAAGAAAAAGCTAATTGTCTATCCTAATTCAGCCTCAGTGCTTGGACTTTTATTTTAGTTCATGCAAGATGTGCCTTAAGTCATAAACTATCAGAGCAGCTGTGTTGTGAGAACAAATTATTCCATAGGGTTATGATAATGGGAAGAAGCAAAGGACAATGACAAAACAAATTTAAAAAAAACCCTGATGTTATTGCTCTCTGTTGTGAGTACTAGAACTATTAACAAAAAGAAAAATAATATAATTGTAAGCAGAAAATAATAGAGTGAAAGAAACACTGCTTTAAAAAAAGCTGTGTTTAAAACTAGTGCAAGTACATGGAGGAAATCCAAAGCAGTGGCTTGCTTAGCCAGGATCCAATTCCATTTTAAAAGTGGCTTTGTTCAACTTCTTTTCCCATATGTAATAAAGACTAACATTTGTATGTCTGATCAAATTTCTTTTGAGTGATTGTAAGCTACAGATGCCATAAGCTGTGACAGAGTGACAGAATTGTGAACGCTTCAAAGGTTGCTGCTAATTCCACAGTAAGAGCCTAAAACACAGAAGCTCATTGTGAACCTAGGTATGCATCCATTACATGCAAATAAATGGTTTTCTATTAAGCATTAAAGAAAAAATAAAATTATTAGCAAAACTAAATTTGTGTTGCATTAACTTGAAACAATATCCAGAAGAACCAAATCTAGATCTTGACCTGTAATCAAATAAATCTGAAATGTGACTCACATCACAAAATACTATATTGCATTCAAGGTTAGGATCTGGATTGGGCCCAGTGCAGCTATAGACAGGTCCAGCCACGGAAACACATTGGAAAGGCCTATCTCAAATCAAATCTGAATACAGAAAAAAATCAATGATTAGTGTCCAGGTTGACATTCACTAAATTCACTAGAAAGAATCCTACTGACTGCAAATCCTAAAAGATGACTTGCTTTGAACTAGAAGCTAATTTCCAGCTCTGCCTCAGATTTTCTTATGTTTGGACAAGTCATAGAGAATCTGTGCTTTTTTTTCTGTATGCAAAATAGGAGGTACTCTGGTCTACTCCATGAAAAACACCATGAGTTTCCCTTCATTAGTGAGGTACTAAAATAGGGTGATGGAGATGTTAAAGTAAACTATCTAGTTTGACAAACTAAGAAATATGAACAATTGAATTTTATGATTCTATTCTAGATTGGGAGAAACAGTGAAGGGAAACAGCATTTACCCAGGTTGGAAAAGTGATATTTTCCAGTTGCAGATGAAGACATAGCTGAAGGAGAAACAAGCGGGGACTGACTGCCAGTGTCTTGCAGGCCTCCAGTTGAATGGGAGCGTAGCCATTCCTTGCCTTCCTCCTGACTCGTCTGCCGGGATGATGGAGTATATCTGCAAAACCACAGCTGACACGCTCAAAACAACGACAAGGTGACAGTTTGGAAAGAAATAGGTGTAACATAAATACCCTTCATCAGTTAGATAGAACAAAGCCCTTGGAAAGCATCAAGTCTAGTCAAGTGATTACCACCGGGGATTTTAACAAGGTAAAATTTACCATCTTTTTATGACAGAAAAAGTACAGGACTTGAAACCCCTTTCTTCTTCATCCCCCTCCCCAAAACAGCATTCCTTTCCTTTGAAGAAATATGATGAGAAACCACAGAAGACAGACAACTGAGTTGACAGGAAAGGACTTCAAAGCTATAGGAAGTGTACAGGTTGATGCAAAATCTCGGAAGCTGTAGGGCTAGGATGGGGAATGCACAGACTAGAAGCCAAGAAATGTGAGTAGCCGCTTACAAAATGACATTGGCCACAGATCATGTGGGCAATTGGTTAGATGACAGGAGCAAAACAGATCAACAATTCTGAAAAAGGAGTTTGCATCGGTAATGACAGCTACTCATGGTAATACACGCGCTCTGCCACTCTGAATGCTACTTGGCATTATGTCCTGCCCCAAACTGGGCAGAGGGAAAGGGACAGGAAAAATCCACAATTAGAAACAAGTTCTCTGGAAGGAAGAAGTCTGACAATCAAATCATTCATCAACTGCTTCCTATGGCAAATCAATAAAACAAGTGCAACTTGACACATGGGCTAAGAGGGAGAACTGGTATTCACTGTCCCAGCCTCTTTTGGCGGGGCTGGAAGAAGGGCAATTCTGGCAGTGGTTAAACATTAAAATGTGCAGGCAGTGTGGGTCTTAATCAAGAGATTGTTTTCAGCAATGTCTGCAACAGCCTGTTTCGTTCTGCACAATCTCCTGCTGAGAAATGAGCACCTTCTTTACCACTGTCATGAGCCATCAGTGTTCCCCAAGCAACAGAGCAGAAAGTGCTTCTGATATTCTGGCTTCAGGCTTGTGAGGCACAAGTATTTCTGCTTAGAAAGCAGATTAAATGAACATGTAAGTTCTCATGTTCTGCTTGGGGTTTTGTACAATATTTTACAGCATTAAAACATCTTGTCCTGATTAAATATTTACTTCCTCTCTCCTTTCAAAAAGACAGCTATGATCTTTGCTTATAGATGTGGTAGAGCAGAGTTATCCAGTGGTTGTCAGAGCAGAAAGATGGCAAAATGAGAATTCAGGATCTGGGTCCTGGATTGGGATCTCTGCACATTAAATCAAACTGATGGTCTTTCTGGGATAACTGATCGGGCTTACATGCCCATAAGCCGTTTTCCCACTCCATTTCTCTTTTAGCTTTCAGCCACCATTACAGTTGTAGAGCCATAAACCTCAATCATCCTATTGTACCTTTGCAGGGTCCCCTTTATGCCTTTTTCATGTCTTTCACCTTTTCCATTCCCTCCAAATCCAACATGACTGTTTTGGGATAACAGGAAATTTGATTAAATTCTTATTAAGGAGCAGCTAGTGAAGAAGAGCAGAAGATCCTTCCTAGTGACAACACTTTAGCACTATCTTAAAATTTAATAAAATATTATTTATCAATAATTCAAGAGATTTAGTTGTGCAATGTCAGTGACTGGAAGGCTACAGAGCATCTGTGTGCATGCACATACGTCCTTGCTTGCCAAATCTCCTTCCTGGATTACAGAGACAGGCTTCCATGCCTGATGAGATCAGATAAGTTACCTAATGATCCCCTCTTTTAACCATGGAGTGGAGAAGAGGGTGGGTGACTTATTTTGTGTGATGAAGACACCTCTAATCAGTGGGGAATTAGTAGCAAAGTTGGACTCTGAGTATTGCTGGATAGGGACCAAGAAGACTAGCTGGAGCAGGGCTCACTTTATATTTACAAACCTTAGTTATTAACATTAGCATTTTCTAACCCTACCCTTTACTAGATCTTCAATTCAAATTGTGTGTTTGCATTTAGAGTTCAAGTTCAGATCCACGTCTAAAACCTTGTTTTTCAGAATAATGTTTTCAACAATTAGTCCCATTAAATTGCAAAAAATATCTTGTTCTCTCTTTCAGCTCTCCAGGACTCAATGTCTTTTAAGATTCATTGCACAAGGGAACTATCCTTAACAGTGTCCACTTTCTATGATGTATCTCGAAGGGGAATTTATTCACTAGGCAAACTTGGAAAGAAAATGTCCATTGCTAAAATCTATGTTTTCTGTTTTGAATCTAAATACCAAGAACTCTGTTGTAAGCAGGATCAACAAAAGGAGAAAGAAAAGGTAAGACAGTGTAGAAAAGGTTACAGGAAAACAGAGAAGCAGCAGTCATGCTCAAAAAATATATATACCTTAATCCCTTTTTGGGTAGTGTATTTCTGTCAAGCTGCATGCTGTTAAAACAAAAAAAATCCCTAAGGACATACAGTAAACAGTACTGGTCAGAATTACAAATTTTAAAGGTCTAGATTTATGTGCATAACAGAAGGTCATTTAATGCTTTTTAATATATCTTTCATGATAAATCCCCAACTCATTGGGGGGACAATAGGACATGGACCGCTGCACATTCATTTTTCATCTAGATATGCTCTGAGCTGGGTCAATAGTAATTTGGACACTGTCCAAGTTAGAAAGAAGTCCTTCCTTACCATTTCTAACCTTCCTACAGCTTCAACCTGCAATCTGTGCGAGAATCATATGGTCACAGTATGACTCTTTCTTTTTCACAGTTGATTATGATATGCTAATAATTTCCAAAAGAAAGGAAGGTTGTGGCACCTGCTAAGAGACAGCATGGCCTTGCCAGAAGCCAAATGACAGCTCTGTGTGTAGAAATACATGCTAAATATATAGACTCTTGGCATTCTATTGTTGTGGGGCTCACACAGTAAGGTGATGGTGGGGACAATGAAAAATGGCACCAGAGGAATGTTGTTCCATATCCATGCACACACAGTGTCAGAGAGGCTGGAAAATCTATGGAAATCTATGGCTGGAGTTTTCCTAATTTAAACCCTATCACCAGACGGGCACCCACCAGCCTTCCTTCAAATAAGTGTCATTTGGGCATTTCCTCATAAATGGATCTACTTGGTAGATCAGTCCCCAACTAGTGTGGGTTGAATTTCAACTAGTTATCATCAAGTAAGGGTTGTATTGTTTTTTCCCTTAAGAACACAATTTAGCGTCACTTTAGTGCCACTGTATGGATTAAATTGCAAAATGGCTTTAGAAAGTTTCTTTATTACATATCATAATCACATCTCTGAGAGCAACAATAACTTAGGACCTTTCCTGCCCCAAAAAACTCTCATTCCATTGTTAAAGGTCATTTTCTATTGTGCTGGGGGTGCTGGGTGCCCTACTGTCATGTAACCTTGATCCAAGTAGGTAAAGGCAGTGAAATCACTTTTGTGTTAACAATCCATTACCATTAGGGCTCAGGCTAATGGAAGTAAACCACTCTTACCACCAGGAAGTTTTATAGGTAGTTTTACTAGTTTAATCAGGGCCTTGTTCCACATGGGGAGAAAGCAAATGGAAGGAGAAACCTAGCAGGATTTCAGCACAGGCCCAGCTATCATGGTCCATCTGAGAGTAGTCCTCTATCAGAGGACTACATTTTCAGCGTTTTGCCCCCAACACAACTAACAGGACCAAGAACGGTTGCTAAGAAGAGAACATAAATTTGAATGCATGATTCACATATTTTTTAGTTCCTTACAGAGAAGAATGGGGCCTTCATGTTCCTTTATGTAACTTTATGCACCTCTACATTTCAAAACAAATAAACATGATCATAATAACAACGTAATTTTCTTCTGCAAATACTCAATCATTCTAAAGAACAATGTAGTTTGTAATATTACTTTAACTTGAAATTCTGTGTATTTCAAAATAATCTATAGCACATTATCTAAAGATAAAGAAGCCAATCAGTGCTCCTTTAGAGCAATCCATAAGCCAAAAGGTGTAAGTCTGTCAGATAAATAGGCTAATAGTGACCATATGATTTTGCTACAAAACCTTTGAATTCAGATACTCAAGTGAAATAGGGTGAATATTCCTCAACATGAGCATGGAGTTATTGCAACTGCATAAAAGTGAATGCAGCAAACATTCATTCTGTGTTTTTTAAAATACTAAATCTTGCAAAGATGCTACTAGATCTCAGATCATTGTATGCAACCATTAACATGGTTCCATGTAACTATTAATTCAGACCAGTAACTGCACATATCTATTTAGTATCTGAAGGCATTCCTCCATCAAAAGCTGGGTATATTACTCCTGCAGAAACTGGATTTTTGGTAAAGAGAACTGAACTGACCTCAGCGCTCAAAAGATTTCTAAAGATGATATGAAAAAAAGTCATGCCTCTCCTGAAAGAAGCAATGCATGCATGGAAATTTGTCTCTTTGGCTCAAAACAAATACGAATATAAAGTGAGGATGAGAATATCGTAGTATTCCTGAGATTTTCCTTTACCATGTCAATTGAAAAAAGCAGTCTTGCAGGAAGATGTATGCAGGTGTAGGCTGGAGTTATCAAGCCCACTGTATCTCCTTTCCTTTTTGTTTATTTTGCACTGCTGAAGCTGTCTGCAAGTTCCTTGGGGGAAATTACAGGAAGCCTTACAGTTCTGTTTCCTCCCTGCCCTTGGTGTTGAGGTCAACTTGGGAAAGGGCCACAATGCCATATCCCTGGGCTATATCTAACTGTTGCAGAGCTGTTAGGGAATAAAATTATTGCAAGCTAAGAAACACCTAGGGAGTTCTAGGACAGGCAGGGCCAAGCTGATACAGGTCTTATAAATGATTTTCTACAAATGGCTGAGCACTGAAGAAAATCTGACACATGATGCACTGTTTCACACCTTAAAACCACAGCCATCAACTATGATGATGATTCAAAACAACTGAAAATCTTGAAGAGCTTAAGTGGATTTCTATGCACTTTCATGGCCCTCAAAACAAAACATTCCTTTAAAGTAAACCAGAGCAAGCCAGCCATGTAATTAGAAACCACTTCCACTCTGCTAATCTTAAAATGCAGCCATTATTGCTGATGAGACCAGTGTTAATTCCTATTTTTCTGCATTTTCTATACATCCCTTGCTGTGTCACTCAGACCAAGCAGAAGAAAGACACAAATTTGCAATGCCCAACAGCAATTAAGGGTTCAAAAGAACTATTGGTGATGTGTCCACCTGGAAAATTTTATCAATTAAAGCAGTGATATTTCACTAATTAACCCCAGCAGATGGTTTTATTTTAGAGTATAAGTACCTGCACGATTCATTTTAACCTCTCTAAATTGTCATAAGATAAAATACAAGTGTCCTTCCATACAGGGAGTTACACTGCTATGACAGCAGAAGTAGACTTGTCTACATAAATCCTGCTAGTGCAAAACCAGCAAGTCCTGAGGGAGATGCAAATTTTAGTGAAAAAGCAAATATTTTGCTAGTATTTACTGAATGTATTTTCTGGTTGTTAAAATGCAAAAGAATCTCATTGAATGACACTTAATTTGGATGGAGTAAACTTTGACATTGCATCAATACAGCAGTGTCAGGGAGCTGTGTGTTTATGCTGTACCATTGCTTGGTGGATAGCCTCAAGACTGAGTGTGGGCAACATCTGCCCATCCCTGGAGGGATGTGTGGGCAAATGTAGCAGGGACCTTGCAGATTTGCTGTCTCCGTGGCAGGTGATCATCTTTTTGGAGGCAGTCAAGGGCTACTCTCCTTAGCAGGAAACATAGATGTACCCTGAGATTTGGTCTCATTTTCTGGGTTCTTCCCAGTTGCATCAAATCTTTCCTAAAACTTGATGTTACAAAGTCTTCAAGTGAAAACTTTAACATGAAAAAGAAGAATGGGATAACTACTTTTTAAGACTTATATGTGATACCTTCATTTTCAAAATACTGAGAAATTGCTTTGTCCCGGCAACAGCACTTCAATCCCTTAGACACTGCTTCCTTTCTGCAAAATAGTCTCATCATTTTCCATTTTATATCCGTGCTAATGTATCCTGCCTGTTTCATCTGTTCAGGCTAATAAACCATTGATCACTAGTCTTTGATAACTCTTTACCAACTGGTCAAGCACCTTACTCTATTTACCTCATTTGCTTTTAAGAATGTTATTCGAAATAGCACCTAAAGCTTTACTAAGTTCAGGATTTATTATTATCTCTACTAATTCCTTTCCTCTACTCACAAAGCCTGTTTTCCTGCAAATGAATTAGAATAGTCTTATTTAAAAGGCCGTTAATGATAACCGCACGTTTTCTGTTATTTAACCCATTTTGTTTAATATCCTCTGCATCTTTCCAGGAACCGAGGCAAGGTGGCCTTGCCCATAATCCCCCTCATCCTCCGTCCCAGCCCTCCTCCTCACTCCTTCCTCAGCACAGACCCTTTGAAACATCTTCAGTCCTAATGACTGCAGGGTTGTTTCAGACTATGTCTGAAGCGGGGAAGTGAAAAGTTCATCAGGACCAGTACACTGGAGTAATCTTTAACCTTTTCATTCCCTCTTAGCATGCTTTCCATTGGCGATGTTTAGCTATCAAATTGCAGTTAATGCTTCAGTGAAGCAAAACTATATTTATTTGTATCATCTATTATTAGCTCTCTCTTCTCTTTTACCTTTCCCTAGGCTTTTCTGCATAGGCTTTATGGTGCTTGCTATGGTATCTCATTTTGTGCTTTGGTCTTCTGATTTTGTCTCTACATTATATTAGTGTACCTCACAGTGCACAGACTGCTCGCTCAGTCTTTTGCAAGCTGTAGAGTAACTGAAGAAAAAGAATAAGCCTCTTTGCAGATCATTTCTTATGGCATTCCAGGCTAGAACTAGTATAGCCAGAGGCATCTCAAATATAATCTGAGTTTACAAAGAAAAAAGGACATAATCTGTTGCCAAAGATATCTAACATTGCAAACCAATGCTTTTGTTGTGAAAAAATACTGCTACATGTAGGTTTTACTGTATGAAACAACTTAGAAATAACGCAGCACTTGTAATAGATCTTTCAGAAAAATCAAACTGCAAAAACCCTGTTGGGGGCTATAATTCAAGAAATGACACCATTTTCTCTAGGTACATATATTTGTTTTGAGGCCAGATCAACATGATAAATGGTTCTCTCTGGACTCATTCATAAAATCCCCATACGGACAAATCTGAAACTTGAAAATATTGCCAAAGGCAAAGTATTTGGAACCGCTGAAATTAAGTCACTGAACAAATACATAAAGTATCAGTAGTGGGGTTTGCTCAGGAGCTTATGCCAAACCATTAACATTTTAAATGTGATGTTTAACATCCTCTGAATAAATATGATCTTTGGCATGAATTCATACTTTTCCACATCCTTCTATTGACCTCACCATCCATATATGTAACACTGAAAATTAGTGAAGGTTTTTCTAAGCTAAATATTAATAATTAACTTTCTAAGAAATATTGTCACATTCAGTTCATGTCACACAATGAGAATTACTATTTAAAAAATAAAGGCACAGTGCAAGTTACAAAATACTCATGTATCAGTGTATTTTTAACTATGTGTTAGCACACATTATATTGGTACATATATACTTTATAGTGCTGTAGTTATATTAACAAGAGGTGTGATTTTAGCTGATGTAGTAATCCTTATGAATGTAAGATAAGAGAAAGAAATACGTGGAGAGTTTCCATCAAGATTTGGCAAAGAGTTGTTTAGGGTTTGGGGTTTTGTTTATGGTAGCTTTTTTTAATGCTGATTCACTGAAAGTGAAATCTTTGCATGGAAAGGATTGGTATTGAAAAATCTCTGGGTTTATATAAAGGGAAAAAAACCCTCAGCATTTATATAAAGATCTTTTTTCCTTTAAATGATTGTGGTGTTAAACAACTAAGTTCAACCTTAAAACATTTAAAATATTTCTGACTGACTCAGTATAATTTTCTTTTTTGTATCATAGGCTAATGAACTATTTAATATTGACTTTTCAGTCCCCATGTGAGATAAGTTTCATTGTCAAATCTTGAAAATTTTCACAGGAAGTGAAAATTACTTACTGCCTAGCAAAGATCATTTTTTTCTCTCTTTCAAAAGTCAAGTAAATGTTTCACAAAAAAAAGATAAAAAATAAAAGTCTTGGTACAACTGTGCTAGGGTGGTTGCATCTCTTTATAATATAACTTAAATACTAAAACATCTGCATATCAAAAAGATCCTTAATAGAGCAAATAGAGGAAAACCCTTTCTTGCTTTTTCTTTGTCTGTTCCAGACACTTGCCAGGACTTTACATAGTGAGGGTCTCCTTTTGTAAACTGTCTCCCTGCCAGTGAAACTGCATTTTAGTAAGGACCTGTGTAATGATTACTATGTCAGAAGCAAATTGTCAGGACTAGTACTTTTAGGCAAGACTGGCCAGCTGAAGGCAGGGGCCTGCCAGCTCTGCCTGTGTTTTGAGCTAATGGGAAGAAAACTGGTGGGGTCCCACTGCTGGAAAAGATTTATTAGCAAGAGGGCAGTGATAACAGCTTTGGAGCTGCCAATTGCTGGGACAGCAGGTAGATCCAGCATGCAAGAATCATGACGTAGCTGTTTAAATTTGCCTTTAATTAGATAATTTTCCCCTTTTCTCTGGTTGTTTTCCAGAACAAGGGAACCAAAAAAACTTCTCAGGATAAAAAAAAGTGCTTGTGAAACCTTAAAAGGCAGTTGATTCCACATCCAATGCCTTTCAGCTTTCTTTTCTTCCTTCCTTCCTTTTTTACACAAAGGACTAAGCTGCTAATTAAACAGTGTCCCTTTAGGAAAACAGGTGGAGGATTTATTTTTTTTAGCTCCTGTCCTTTTGCCTCTCACTAGTTTCGTGGTCACTGTATCTACAGGCAAGCTCACCTTTCCGAAAGAGTAGATCTGACGCTTCCAGTCCTCATGAGCAGGCTCTGAACCTCCTGAGTGCTTGTTGTCAGTCCAGAGAGAGAGCCATGATGGCTAAGAGGAAGGTCAATAGACTCGGAACTGGTGTGAAGGCTAGTCATGGACTGGTAACTTGGTGTGTCCTTACTGCCCGCTGAAGAGCTGCTCAGGTTTGCAGCCCACACAAGACCACCTGATGTGAAAGAGTGCACTGAGGCGGGACTGGAAGCCAAGGAGTGACTTAAGCTTACAACATCTGCATTTAAGTCCGAAGGTTTACTGAAGAGGGGGCTGCTGCTACCACTTTGCCCACCTGCACTGCCCATGCTGCCTGTGCCCGAGGATGGCGATTCCAGGCTGCCTTGCCGTGCCAATGTGGTACTAGGGCTGGGCATTGCCGATGTGGGTTTCACACCTTCAGTACTGGGTGCAGAGGCAGCTTTACCACTTGCCTTGGCACCAAACAACCTAAATGTAAAACAAATAGCTTTAGAGAAACTGATAGCCACATTAAACATTCATGGCGTAACATCCTAAGAGCCAAACTACACATTTTCAATTACCACTACTAAAATCATGCCTACCTAGTTGATCAATTGCATCGCAAAATTAAATTCACTTAACCATATCACAACAATCAGGGTTTGTTTCATTAGCAACAGCTCTCATTCACGCCTGTTCAGATGTGCTCTTTGCACATACAGACCCTCCCAGAGAGAGGTAAAATAGTCACATTTTTGTCTTATTAGTGGGTAAACAGATTACACTTTCACCCAGATTCAGTAATTAAGCGTTCCCACAACTAAGTCATTAGCTTTTAAACCCCTCACTTCTCAAATCAGCTAAAATGATTGCAACAAACACTTGCAAAATCCTTCACAGTTTAATAGACATCTAAGTATTTGTGTAAAATTTCCTTCTCATTCTTTTGCACAGATTGTCAGGCGGTCATCGGTCATGTAGGGACCATTCAGACAGAATAAGCTGCTCTGGAGCTACATGGGCTCAGTTTGTCTCCAAAGACAGTTATGAAAGAAGTGTATTTCATATAATTGCTTCCACTTATTCTAGAGAAGAAAATTCTACCATGATGATGAAAAGATAAACCCCAAATCCCCTAAAACTGTTGAAATGAAAGGTCATGTGATAATGTCTTACTGGAAATATTTCAAGCTGCATTTAAGGTGCAGCTCATAAATGAAAAAGAAATAAATGCAAAACTTATCGTGATGTAAAGTAAGCATGGCTAATAACATAAGAATCCATTTTACATTATTACCAAGCCCACAAAAATCAGTTGCAGCTCCCCTGCAGCCTAGAGATGCTGTTGTGCTAACTAGGCACAAGAGGGCACTATTGGCTTTGTCTCCAGCAGTACAAGTGCTCCAGCTCAGTTTGTACTTCATCCAGATTTGTATTTCCAGAAAAGTCACAATAGGGCATTTCTAATTGAAATTTAGCTTTGCTTATGCTTGTGGCGAAAGATGGGACAAAGCTGTTAAAATAATGAAACTTTTGTAGCTGGGGCTACCAGCACCATGAAAACAAATACTTTATTATACTATATAGAGCTCTTCAGTTCTCTGACCAGGCTATGGCATCGCCTGTTCCAGTAACAGAATGTGCCTGAATGCAGAGTCCTTCTTCCCTTTGGGGGTTTATCAGAGTATTGAGAGGGAACTTCCCATGTGCCTAAACTTAGAATCACAGAATATCTGAGTTGGAAGGGACCCATAAGGATCATCAAGTCCAACTTCTAGCCTTCAAACTGTTGTTAGGGGAATGTGCCTAAAATGCTCAAAGCTCAAGGAACAGCCATTTCAAGTCTGGGAAGGTCTTTAGATCTTAGAGAAATAATTGCCTGGTGTGAAAAAATATTACATTTTTAGGCTTTTTGTACTTCATTCTCTGTTTGTGCCAGAACATGCATTGAAAAGGCTTTTTGCCCAGTACTTCAACACACTGAAAATCCTTGCTTTATGTACTGCAACTTCAGGAATTCATAGAAAAGCACTAACCTTCGAAAGGTGGGGGAGGCGATATCTGGGTATTTGGATCCCGGCTGCCTAAGCCCCGGCGTGCCAGAGGCACTCGCCGAAGTTGGGCTGGATTTGGGGGAACTGGACAGCGAGACGCTCTCGGAATCGGACACAGCCACTTTCTCTTTTTCCTTGTCCGTCTGGTTGATGGTGACAGGGCTGGACCGCCCAGACCCGATCTTGCTTGGCTCCCGCAGTTTAGTGGCAGCAGCACCTGCAGACTTGCTGCTCACATTGGAGTCGATGCTGCTGGTGCTCGAGCGGTGGCCGCCCCTGCCAGGGATCCCGCTGCCACTGGATTTAGATGGGCGAGGCAAACTTCGATACTGCAGAGTCGTCTTTGAGTTCACATGCAGGACTCCGTCATCCTGGTTCTGAGAACCATCTAAGCTCGTTTTCCGCCCTGCATTGGACTTCCCGCCAATAGCTGAAGATTTTGGCATTTTTCCTAGAGTTGCCGACCCGCTTGTGATGGTCGCACCACTTGTGGTGATTATGGTAGAAGATCCCATCCCGGACTTCTTGAATCCAAAGGACCCTGTAGCAGTTGATCTCCCAATTCCAGAGGGAGGTTTTTTCCCTTCATCGCCGCTGCTTTTTCCTGCGTCCGACGGAGAGCGCTGAATGGAGGCTCCTTTCAGGGGAGTTTTCACTTTTTCTGAAGCTTTTGCATCATCTGTTTTTCCTAAATAAAAGTATATGTGAAAAAGTCACTTGTGTTTAAGCTGTAATGTCTCAATATCTAATTTTCTAATCTAATCTAGTCTAACATATGGTTGCCATTTCACAACGAAAAAATACACAAATGGAAAAATTACCCTAAGAAAACAGACCAATTTAGTCTTTAGTCCCCCATCAGCAGTCAGTAACAGGTACAATACATTACAGGTAAGCATTAAATTTTAAAAGCTTGAAATTCTCCTGGGAACTTCCAGTTTCAGATATAGCTGGAGAATACAGATGTAGAACATTATCCTCAATGAAATATAAAGAACTTTATTTGGCTTTTTTTTTGCTGTTAATAATATTTCTATATGTCAGAAATAATATTTGAAAATAAAACATGACATGTAATTAACATTTCGAAATGTATGACATTAATTATGCATGTAGAAATTAGTGATAGTTATTGAGCTCTTTGCATTTCACTGATTAAATTTTTTTAGCTTATAACTACGTTTGTTCTGGTTTTACTTATACAAAATTATCAGGGAGAGATGTTGTCATGGTATGAATCTTCTTGATCTATGATATCAGTTACATGAGTTAATAGTCTTTGTCATATCTTTGATATCTTCTCAAGATTTTTGATTTTCTGAGAGTCTGTCTTCAGTACTGCACACACACATACCTATATACCATATATTTCTCCATTATTTCTCCAAATGTCTGTTTTAATTTGTCTTTAAGCATCTATTGTATATGCCTAAGGAACAAATATTCAGCGTAAGAAGTTTTTAATTCCCTCGTCAAGTGATTATGGAAGTTTTGCAGGTGGGTGGACTAATTTCTCTTAAGGAACTAAACTTTAATAAAGAGCAACACCTACAAATTAGAACTAAATCCACTCACGTTTTTATCCAGTGCACATTTTATGCTATACAAACACATGCACGTGGCAAGATACAGATCAGATTCCTACACGGCAAACACACAGAGTATTAGTATACGCTTAAAAAAATTAAGGCCTCAATTCTTTATTGCACGGTGGCTGCCTGCTCATTTTCAGCAAAACAAACCTGTGAAAATTAGCTTGGCATACAGTAAACCTTTTAGTATCCCCTTTTTTAATTGCTATTACAGGAGCGTCATTTCTGCATCCATGTGACCACTGACCACAGCAATGCTCCTCAGGGATCTTATAGACCAGAGGCTGACCAAATTGCAAAGAAACAAGAGGCTCACAAAGGATTTGAATTTATTCTGAGGAGAAATTTGTTAATTGCCTTTACAAATGGGGGCTAAAGCATGCTCATACAGTATTTTGCCAGGACATGACAAAGTTCTAGAAAATGTCCTACAAAGAAATGATATTTCCCTAGTAAAATTATGAATTAGATGGTCTTAATAATGATGTCTTCCACCAAATTTTGATTTTTTACTTCAAAACTAGATTGCAGAAGTGGCTACTACTTCTGAGAGCCTTTCAAGATTAGGTAAGAAGGCATCTAGCAGTGAAGAAAGTGTGTAAAAAGATATTTTTAAAACGTTTTGTCTCTTAAGAGTGGTCTGTAGAATGGCCACAGTACCTGGAATGTGACAATTCAGCTTTAGTTCATAAACACTAATTTTGAGTCCCCTTACTTGAATGTTAAATCTTTTTATCTCAACTTGGCCATTTCTATGCATATGTTCAATTATTATAGGCACAGTTTTTCTAGAGAACAAAGATAAGGCATAGATGAGTCCAAAAATACTTTTAAGAATGTCTTAATAAAGTTGTCATACTCGAATGATAGCAAAACAAAACGCAATCACAGTTTTTGTTATAGATACATTCTTGTGCAATTAATAAATTATTAGGATGCACTGTAGCACATTAAGCTATACAGATGAACAAGTTAGTGTATTATTACAATCTTGGCTTGCAGTCATTTATGAGAAGAACCACCAAAATGCTTACAGTTTCTCATGTTTGTCACGTGTTTATAATATCCATTAATAATTTTTAGCCCACTGAATATTCCTTTCTGCTTATAGATGAATTCTAAGTATAAAGCCTTATTTTCAGGATGTAATCTGAACTATAGAATTTTCCTACCCGGGGTCTTGAGCGCACTTGTTCCTGCTTTGTGCCTGGACTGAGTTGTTCCTACTTGTGCAGTCATGCCTCTTCTCCAGGATCCAGTCTGTGAAACAGAGAGGGATGCTTTCTGCCCCCCCTTCTCTGACTCTTCGGACAACCCCGAGGGAAGGCCTTTCCACTTGCCGCTGCTGTCTACGCTGTTGTCAAAGTCTTCTTCTGGTTTCTTCAGTTCTTCAGTGCTGCCCCAAGTTTCGCTGTCTGTAACTGAGCGTTTCTCTGAGTCTGTCTTCAGCTGCAACAGATTTGCATAAGAAATGGTCAGTCTCAGCATCTTCAGTATTTGCTCATTTAAATCACAGGAGGGGAGGAGAATAAGTATATTGATTTATTTGTAGCAAGGGCCATGGAAACTTTTCTTCTAAAACATTAGTATCCTGATCCCAAAAGTTCAAAAACATTCCCATTTGGGGAAGATATTTTTCTTTTATTTTCAGAAATCTTCAACTCTTTCCTTCATACAGAAACCATAATGAAGTGAAACATAACTTATTCTGTTCATCAGTGGTGACACTCTATTGTTCCTCAGCTCTCTCTGAATTTCACAAATGAATCACTGCACTGAAGGTTTTACTAAAAGCTTGAATGAGGGAATTCCTAAGTATACTACTAAAATCACCTCAGTCTGGTTTCTTGCCTTTTCCTACCCAAGCCTTGCACTGACTGAATTAGGAATATTGCTCTGGCAGCACTGATTACATTGTGCCACCACTGAGCAAGGATAACACCTTCAGCAAAATTCAGTGCTACACCTGGTGGCTTTTCTACTGGTTTGTCTCCACTGAAATGAATTGTTGCCAACAAGAAACTCGCTCTACCTATGTCAGCTAGCAGAGCAGCTAGAAGAGAGGCTTATGCAAGCACTACCCACCAGCGGAGTGAAGGTAACTCAGACCCATGTGGAAGATACTCTGGGAAGGACCTAACACCCTTGTGGCATCTGCTTTCCCTGGGGCATGCTGATAAGGGCGTGCTGCAAGGAGACAGACAACGTAGAAACTATGAAAGTGGCTTAAATATAAACATTGGAGACTGACCCTGACCTCTGTGTTTGACAACACTTGTGTTCTTTGTGCTGACAGGCTGTTCAGTCTAATGCTTCCTCCTGTGTTTTCCTGCAGCTCCTAACCTCAGTCTCAAGCCTTATTTGCACATCTTCACCTCACCAGTCCTCCTTACCTCTGTCCCTCTTTAACAGCAAAAAAGTAGTGCTGCTTTCAGGTATCACCACAGCCTTACCTTCATATAGCCAGCCTAAGTGGGACTGCACACTGGGTCGCATTCAGGGGAGGGCTATTTATTGGTCTGTGTTGCCACAACTCCTCCACAGAGACCCCTCTGTGGCTGTTTCCTAGGCACTGCTATCGTAAGTAGGATTAATACTGATTAAATGACCGACAGAATAATCAGTTGCTGTTTACATATTTGTCATTTGAGGCATACAAAATGAAAGGGCTCTCTGCACTTCTGTAATTTCATATATGCTTTGGAGATACTAGCACAGATTTTGTGTAAGGATTGATGGGAAAAGAGCCCAAGCAAACATCTACACAAATATTGCAGGGTTCTTCAGAAGAAAGTTTTCATTTGTGCAATTGTTACAATATGTGTAATGGTCCCAGAACTTTTCCCATAAATTAATGGTTACAAACACATACTATAAATTTATAAAGAAAACTGAATCATTTCCAAGAAATGACAAGTATAATACTTTCTAAAAACCTCTCTTCACCATTACATGATCCGAAAAGCCGTGTTAATCCTCTTTTAATAAGAAAACAACAACAAAATATGCATACTCTGCCTCGGGCTACAGCCAGCTTGCATTGCTCCGTTCACTTAAAAAGACTGCAAAAAGGATCTCTGTGTTGCATGAGCATGTCTTACACCTGGAGAACAGCTGGCAAAACGCTTTTATATTCTGCTCATCTCAGCTTCTGGCTGAGATTGCAGGCTAGCATGGAGTATAGAGCATTATGATTAATCTGCCTGGTAAAGGCAGACTTGATAAAGGTCTGTTCCTAGCCTTCACAACATAAAGCAGCTCTGGCAGGAAAGCAACATTTAAACATGTGCTGCATCTCTGTCTATTGCTGAACAAACTGCAAATAATATCTGGTTGAACAGCTAGAACATGAGATCACTCAAATGAAAAACCCACAGAGTTAAATAGCCTGAGATTTCCCAATCATGATGATGTTGATGCAGTGGAACAAGTAATCCAGGACTAGCTGGCCATCACTGTTGATGTGACAGGGAAGAGGCTCAGGTCCAGTTAGCAGCCATGTGAGACCCATGCTGCAGTTGGAAAGGCAATGGTAAGGGCAGAAGAGTGCTTGCATCTGTGCGAGTATCTTTGCACAAGTATCACATCAGTTTGAAATCTATCCTGCTGTAGATTAAAGTAATCTTCATTCCCAAAGTAACTTTATTTCCCTGTTGTCTGGGGAAAATGAAAAATACGTGGTTTTCTCCTGCTGACAAAGTCTGCCACAATGTACATCTACAAAACAGATCTCTGAATTGCAGGCACTGACTGCCTGCGGGAGTCTAAATGGAATTGGAGTGTCAGTCTTGTGTCCTGAATACTTGACATCGAATCACTGGAGGCAACAACTCTTCCCCTCTGCTGAGTGTTCAGTCTTGAAGTTCCCTGCTTGTAAACAGGAGATGACATGGCAAAGAATACTTTTCTGTTGGGACTAACCCAGTTTTCCCGTTTTTTTGGGGGGTTTTTTTTGGTTTTTTTTGAGGAGAACTAAGTCCTGCAAGCATTCTGTATTGTCTTTTTTATCACTTGCAATTTTGAGGGGAGCTGGGCAGAAATGCCTGACACAAAGACTTCGTGTGGAGAGACCAGGGAAAGGACAGTACAGCCTAGGTATTTCTTCCCTGGTATGTGTCTGCTCATGAAAGACAAAAACTACTGTATTTTAAATCGTGCTATCTGTTAAAAGAGATACTCTGAATGGGATGGCGTGAGTAGAAATCCACTCATCACAGATTCAGTCATATTATGTTTTTTTGTGTTAGGGTGCAGCAGTGGCTGGGGTCTTCCTGGTCTGGGACCAGCGGAAGCTCCTCCAGAGCAGGCAGAGAGGGTCTCACCAGTCAGCACCTTCAGCAGTGGAACATGCCCTGGGAGCAGGGCATCTGAGGCACTAGCTCACAGGTCAGGGTTGGGTCAGTGGGGTCCATGGGCTACTTGCACACAAGTGTGATAGAGGAGTTTGTAAAATATGAATATTCATTTTTTTCAGAGACATTGAGAGTAAACTTTTTTCTTTGTTACCCTGCACGCTTGTGGGGTGTTGCAAGAAATGGCAATGAAAAGCTACTCACCTGGGCATGAGTGTTCTTCCTTGAAGAGGCAGTTATATTGGAATAAGAGCTGACAGATGAGGTGGTATTCAGATCATCCGTACTGAGGTTGTCAAGAGTGTCACTGAGGCCACTGCTAACTGAGCTGCTGTCATCCCAGCTGTAGAGAAAGGAGTACATCTGCTTTACATACTGTGTGTCAATATGCAGAAAGCATCCCAACATCAATAGATGAGATTACTTATTCTTCAAGAGGTTTACCAGAAATTTTTCAGTAATATTTCCTAATGTACAATGAATATTAGTTTTCAGATTTTTTAATTAATTATTCACTCACTGTCAAGTGGTTGCTTGTTCAATTAATGAAAGACCCAGGTGCCTTTAAAAAAATTAGCATCAGGTCTAAGCAAGCACTAGTGTAAGTCATTAAAACAGGTTGTTTCATGCTTCATTGCAGTCACATTCAGTACGCTGGCAGGGAAATCCATTAAACCTACCTGATATTGCTAGCTAAAGCATTATTAATAGCTTGAAGAACACCTGATGGATTTCCAGACTACAGAAAAATAAAACGAGTATCTCTTCT